ACTATTTCTATGTGAACAGTGTAGTTCAAAGATACATAGTAAAATCAAGGCATCGATGGAACATGAAATTATAGATTTAAAAGATTTTGGAACAGAAAATTTTGCTACTTCCATGCAGAAAGTAGATCTTGAAAATATGGTATGAAGTGTTTTTTTTACTGCAATAAATGCAGCGAGCCTACTTGTTCTAAATGTTTAATGGAGACTCATAAAAAGCATGACTATAAAGATCTTGATGAAGTGTATAATAATATCATCTCTGAAATAAAGGAACTAATACATAAATTTGAATCCAATCTTCAAATCTTGAGAAATGAAAAAGACAGACTGGAAAAAATACTTTCAGATGGGGATCAAGATTTCCAAGAAACAAAATGACTAATTCTGCAAACTGAGAAAGAAATGAAAGAGGTTGTTTCAATATTTTACAATGGTAGACACTTATCATAGTGATTATAAAGATGTGACGAATATACTAATCTTCCGTTCGATGATGATACTGCATGTATAGGAACTTTTCAGAATCAACATGGTCAAATTAAATATAATAATTTTGTTGTTAGGAGTACAGAAACATCCCTCACAAAACAAATAAATTTGTTGTTCACAGTACAAGTACAGAAGTAAAAATTTATCGTCATACTAAATACTTTAAAAGGTGGTACATATTAAAAATAGTGTATGCTTCAGTCGATTCAATTAATTTATGTAAAGTCATTCAAATTCAAACTTAAATGTGAAAAATCTATCAAATAATTGCCATAAAACATCACTTTTCAGGTGGTTTTTGTCTAAAATGTAAGTGGCTGCATTTGTGTTCAGTCTCAGCCTTTAAATATGTTATGTATTATCATCAAATACAACATATATTTAAATATTAAGACTGAACACAAGTGTTGTTAAAACAGCCCATATTTATTTAACAAAAGTATTCTACTTTCCAATAAATAGCTAAAAGTATACATTTTTAACACATTTGTAAAATGCTATATTATGGGGCCAAAAAGGGGTCTTACTGGGCCTACTCCTTTTATGTTTAGATATACACAATATATTAGACAGTTCGGTAAATTAAGAATTTCTAACCATAATTTATACATAGAATAAAATGCTCCGCAGGGCGCAGCTTGATACGACCGCAGAGGTCGAACCCTGAACAGTTGGGGCAAGTATGGACACAACATTCAAGCTTGATACAGCTCTGAATTTGGATTGTGATTAAATATTTGACACAGCATAGGTTTCTGACACAGAATGAATGTGGTCTAAGAACTTAAAAATTTTAAATTGGACATTCACCTATTATGGTCCAATATCCAAAATCTAAATACATGGTTAGATTCAGCATATCAAAGAACCCCAAGAATTCAATTTTTGATGAAATCAAACAAAGTTTAATTTTGGACCCTTTTGATCTCAATGTGGACAAAGTTGATAACGGGGCCCTAAAATCAAAAATCTAAATACATGGTTAGATTCAGCATATCAAAGAACCCCATATATTCAATTTTTGTTGAAATCAAACAAAGTTTAATTTTGGACCCCGATTTGGACCAACTTGAAAACTGGGCCCATAATCAAAAATCTAAACACATGTTTAGATTCAGCATATCAAAGAACCCTAAAAATTCAATTTTTGTTAAAATCAAACTAAGTTTAATTTTGGACCCTTTGGACCTTTATGTAGACCAATTTGAAAACGGAACCAAAAATTAAGAATCTAAATACACGGTTAGATTCGGCATATCAAAGAACCCCAATAATTCAATTTTTGATGAAATCAAACAAAGTTAAATTTTGGACCCTTTGGACCTCAATGTGGACCAATTTAAAAACGGGGCCCAAAATCCAAAAACTTAATACACGGTTATATTCAGCATATGAAAGAACCCCATATATTCAATTTTTGTTGAAATCAAACAAAGTTAAATTTTGGACCCCGATTTGGACCAACTTGAAAACTGGGCCCATAATCAAAAATCTAAATACATGGTTAGATTCAGCATATCAAAGAATCCCATATATTCAATTTTTGTTGAAATCAAATAAAGTTTAATTTTGGACCCCGATTTGGACCAACTTGAAAACTGGGCCCATAATCAAAAATCTAAATATATGGTTAGATTCAGCATATCAAAGAACCCCATAAATTCAATTTTTGTTGAAATCAAACTAAGTTTAATTTTGGACCCTTTGGACCTTTCTATAGACCAATTTGAAAACGGAACCAAAAATTAATAATCTAAATACACGGTTAGATTCGGCATATCACAGAACCCCAATAATTCAATTTTTGATGAAATCAAACAAAGTTAAATTTTGGACCCTTTGGAACTCAATGTGGACCAATTTAAAAACAGGGCCCAAAATCCAAAAACTTAATACATGGTTAGATTCAGCATATTAAAGAACCCCAAGAATTCAAGAATAAAACCCCATTGAAATTGATCAAGAAATAAGCAATTTATACAAAGTATATTCTTTTGCACAATACTGTGCAATTGAATATTTCTTGCTATTGCCCAATACTGTGCTATTGGATATTTCTTGCTATTGCGCAATACTGTGCAATTGAAGATTTCTTGCTATTGCGCAATACTGTGCAATTGAAGATTTCTTGCTATTGTGCAATACTGTGCAATTGAAAATTTCTTGCTATTGCACAATACTTATTGTATAATAATTTACACATCCTGTTTGGTGTGTATTTCCTACCATATCATTATTATTTGCTTTTAAATATAAATCAGAAATAACCAACTTAAAATGGAAAATTTTACAAGAAAAAAAAAGGAAAAAAAAAAAAAAAAGAAACCCCCCCCCCCAAATTTTTTGAACCCCCTTATGATTCATCACCCCCAAACTCAATCCCAGCCTTCCCTTTGTGGTATGGTATCTTGCAGTACAATTTCAGAGAGATCCATACAATTGAACACAAGTTATTGTCTGGAAACTAGAAAAATGCTTATTGTTGGCCCCTTTTTGGCCCCCAATTCCTAAACGTTTCGGGCAATTACCCCCAAACTCAATTCAAGCTTTCCCTTTGTGATATGGAACCTTGTAGTACAATTTAAGAAATATCCAAACACTTACACACAAGTTATTGTCATGAAACTAGAAAAATGCTTGTTTTTTGCCCCTTTTTTGGCCCCTAATTCCTAAAATTTTGAATCAATTACCCCCAAAATCAATTACAGCCTTCCCTATGTGATATGGAACCTTGTGGTACAATGTCAGAGAGATCCATACACTTACACACAAGTTATTGTCTGGAAGTTACAAAAATGCTTATTTTTGGCCCCTTTTTGGCCCCTAATTCCTTAACTGTTGGTACCATAACCCCCAAAATCAATCCCAACCTTCCTTTCGTGGTATTGAACCTTATGGTAAAATTTCATGGAGATCCATTAACTTAAACTAAAGTTAGAGTGCGAAAACCAATGTGTCTTGGACGACGCAGGACGACGACGACGACGACGCCAACGTCATACCAATATACGACCAAAAAATTTTTAATTTTTGCGGTCGTATAAAAAGGCAGATATAATAATACACCTTTCGGTCAAAGAATATGTAAACATTGTATTGATAACAAAATTGAAGATGAATTTCATTTCATATATGAATGCAACCTCTATCAAGACGATAGGAAAAAGTTTTATGATGACATTGTTAATATTATACTGTGTTTTTGTAATTTAGATAATTTTGAAAAATTTAGATATTTAATGAACTGTACAGAGACTGACAATGACTGATGTTCTCAACAGATTTCTTATATATATAGACAAATGTATCATAATCAGAAATTCATCAGTGAGAATAATTGCATAATTGATGTGTGTGTTTTGTCAATTGTTTGTTATATTGTCACAAAATTGCTGTCTCTTTTTTGTTTTATTTTTTCTATGTTTTCATGTATTTCAGCAATGATCCTTTTGTACTGGATTTTATACTGAATAAAACAAGCATTCTGTGAGTATTGCCTGGTAATACATAGTCCGCTACCGGTTAATAATTCATTGTACTGGAACAAAATGCTAACTTATTCTATAACTTGTCATGGTGTAAACTATATAACAAATATCAAGTCAATATCTTCAAGCATGAAGGGAAAAAAAGTGGAAAATTGATTACTTGAGTGAATTTTCCAAGTCCAAGGACCATAACTCTGCACAAAATCATTAGACCGGACCAAAATTCGAACTTGATCTGTAACTTGTCATGATAAAACTATCTACCACTCATTAAATCAATACCTTCAAGCATGACAAAAAAAAAGTGCGGAATACTGATTATTTGAGTGAATTTTCTAAGTTCAAGGACCATAACTCTGCACAAAATCGTCAGACCGGAACAAAATTCGAACTTGATCTGTAACTTGTCATGATAACACAATACACTAAATAACAAATCAATATCTTTAAGCACGAAGAAAAGAAGTGTGGAAAACTGATTTGCCGGACTGACGGACGGATGGACAGACAGACAGACAGACAGACGGACAGTTGGAGTGCAAACCTTAAGTCCCCTTCGACTTCGTCGGTAGGGGACTAACTAGTTAGTTAGTTAGTTAGTTAGTTACACAAGAAATCCATGAAAACTATTATCTAATGAATAATAATGAATCCACACTATGACATAAGGACTCAAATTTCTTTGCATACATATCTTGTCTTACACCAAGATGTAGTTCAAAAATTGGATACCCTGCATTTATCATGCTTTTCAATAACATATGGTCAAATTGCTGAAAGACCCCACTCCTAAGTTATTAAAAACTACCATTCTGTATTCAATAATATCTTGGTGTAAACTAGATACACCCATTCAGGGTTATGTCCTCAAGGTGTATTGATAGGTGTTATCAGTTCTTTAAATGTTTGAATGATCAATGAATTATATATTATTTAATTAAATGTAAATTATGACCATGTTGTCATTTTACCTTTAATAGTTTTCTTACAATGAGGAAGTAAAACCCATAGCGACTGGATATTACACCCAAAATGGCGTTTTCTCAGTCTATAGGGAAAGCACAAACTCCAGCTGTGTGTCAGTTCTGTGAAGAATCCACAGAAATTAAGTGGAAGTGTATTAACTGTGAATTATTTCTATGTAACCTGTGCAGTTCAAAGATACATAGTAAAAGTAAGGCATCAATGGAACATGAAATTATCAATTTAAAAGATGTAGAAACACAGAACTTTGCTACTTCCATGCGTAAAGTAGATCTTGACAACATGATATGTTCAAAGCATATTCAACAGAGGTGTTTTTTCTACTGTAATAAATGCAGTGAGCCGGCCTGTTCAAAATGTGTTGTGGAGACCCATAAACTGCATGATTTTAAAGACATTGGTGAAGTGTATAAAGATATCATCTATGAAATGAAGAAACTAATAGACTCATTTGAATCAAATCTTCAAATCTATAGAAATGAAAAAGACAAACTGCAAAAAATGCTTTCCGATGGTGATACAAATTTTCAAAAGACAAAAGGACTAATTCTACAAGCTGAGAAGGAAATAAAAGAGGCTATTTCGAAACATGCCAAAGACCTCTTACAAGAACTTGAAACAAAATGGAAACCTTTAGAAAATATGACCAAAACAGAACTTTCTGCCATGAAAAAGAAAGAGGATGAGTTGGAAACCAAGAAGTACAACCTAAAACAAGCGCTGCAGTCTCATCAAGTGGCAGACATTTTTTCTACAAGTAAAAACTTAGGTAGACCATTACCAGAATATGCAGTTAAAACAATCAAACTTTATAATGCAAAGTTTATTCCTAGCAATATGCAAGTGAAAATAGGAAGTCAAATGCTTGGTGGTCTTTATACAGTTCCAGACTTTGAACTTATAGACACTTATCAAAGTGAGGTTGGAAATGTGCCATGTCTACTTTTATCTAGTGATAATAATGCCTTTATAGGAAGCATTAATAATGAAAAGTTACAGAAAATAAAATTAGAAAATCATTATATCAAAGTAGAGAAAGAAGTTGAGATAGCAGTCTATAGTATGACATTGACAAAGGATGGAGAAATACTTGTGTCATCTGCAGAGAGTGATCTGAATCTGTATACCAAAGATGGACAGTTAACAACATTTAAGTCCTTTTCTCCATTGAAAACGTTAGGAGTCCATGTAACCAAAGATAATAAGTTAATAGTAGGTTTGAGAGAATCTATTCTTTTTCCATTCCCCCCAACAAAAGACAGTATCAGAAAACTTTCGGTTATGAACCAGGATGGTGATATACAACATACTATTGAATATGATACAAACAATCAGAGACTGCTAACTTATCCTCGTAGAATTAATTCTTTCAATGATAAGATAGTAGTTGTAGACATTGTAAACAAAGAATATGAGGGTAGGATAGTAATGTTAGATTATGGGGGACAACTACATTGGATCTACAATGGTTGTAATAGTATCAATTCTGACCATGTAAAATTTTATCCAAAGGACTTGGCAATTACCTCTACAGACATGCTATTAGTCTTTGATACTTTAAATCATGCTATACATGTACTAAATGCTGCTGGGGAGGTCGTTCTATGGAAGAATGTAAAAAGCCTAGGAATAGAATTCCCTATATGTCTTGATATTGACAAAAATGAGGTTTTATGGATTGGGTGCAAAGGTAAGAAGGCTAAGATACACAGTGTTAAGCTGATATAACCAAGAGGTTATAATAGACCAGGCACTACCATTAAAGCTACAACACATCTTTGTGTTTAATCTGAAGGGTCAGACCAGGTATGGGATCTCACAAGTTTTACATAGAAGGGAAAAGGACTACACTTCAGCTGAAATATTTTGATTGTCACTTGTTTCAGTGTTTAATTTCTCCTCCGAAAAAAATCACTCGCAAACATCTTCCCTGCTATTTTTATTTTATCAATTAAGTTATTTGTTGGTGAAAAAAAGTTTTTAGCACAGTGAAGAATACAAATAAAAGGGAATGTAGACTGTATATATACATGATATGCCTTGACCATTAGTAGAAAGTAAAATCACAAAAATTCTGAACTCCGAGGAAAATTCAAAACAGAATGTCCCTAATTTCCGTGTCATTTGGTCTCTTGATGATAGTTGTCTCATTGGCAATCATACCAAATCTTCTTTTTATATATATCAACCACACTTGCAATAAAATGCATTAGTATTAAAAAAACAAAAAACATACTATATATTCTTTATCTACATATTCTTTAAGAACTTAAATAGTTCTCGTTTAACTTTTTTTTTTTATCTCATTGTTTGTATTGTATTATGAAAAATTATTGATGTTGTAATGTTTATGCCCTTTGGGGCCCATAATTGGAAATAAATTATCTTATATATATATATAAGTGTTTAAGTGTTCATATTTCTGTGTATTGGCTTGAGTGTCCTTTAAGCACCTGCCCTTGGTGACTCCTGCATATGAACAACAACAATACTATTTGTTCATATGCATCAGCCACGAGGAAGGACTTGACTCAAAATCTTCTTTTATAATGGATGTGATGCTGCTTCTGGTGCATGGTCAATAAACACTAAACATACTGCTTTACGTGACTACATGTATTATTAACTATTATTTCATGTTTTTTTTCACAGTTGTATTTCTTTTTTTTTATTTTCTTGTGTATTGTCTATTGCAATTGTGTGATATAAAACATCAATGTAATGACTATGCCTATAATGGGTCCTCTATTGGAAATAAAATTTATCTTATCTTATATATCTTTAGACAGTGAATTTACAACCACAGAACATATAGAGGCCATTAATCAGACTACAATCTGATTTATGAATATGTATTGTTTATTTTTTGCTATGTGACTCTCCTATATTTTTAAAAATCATTAAATATCTGATAAACAACTAAAACCCTTTATGTCTAGTTTTACAAAAAGTGTAACTCATTAATCATGATTAAGTTAGGTAATACATAACTCACTACTTCTTTATATAACAATATAACACCTTAACAAACATCTGTAGTGGTCTGGTGTTGTAATTAACATTTCAGTCACCCAGATCATTATAACACTAATTTTCTATGAGAATTCAAACAAATTACAGAAAATTGTCAAGTTAAGATACCAAGGGGACATTCAAAACTGAAAGACAAACTGACATTTTTTGTGAAGGCAAATACGAAAGACAAAGAAAACCAGAAATATAATATATATTAATCTAAAGACTAAGTAACAAACCCCATTAAAAACTAGGGGTAATCTCTTGTAAGAATGTGAAAAGTATCTTTTATTGAAATGAGATGAGAATGCTATAAAAAAAACTATGCCAAAATTAGAATAAGCACTGAAGTTATATCACTTATCTATGAAACAGCTTAATGTTACCTACCAAGTAAGACTTATCACTGGGTTTGAACTTACATGAGCAACACAACAGGAGTCACATGTAGAGATGTACCCTTCCAGAGCACCTGAGATCCCCCGGCTTTTGGTAGGGTTTGGTGCTGCTCAGTCTTCAGTTTTCTGTTGTGTTTTGTGTACTGTTGTTTGGTCTTTGTGTGTTTTTTTTTAGCCATGGCATTGTTAGTTTGTTGTCAACTAATGAGCGTGAATGTCCCTTTGGTGTCTTTGGCCTCCTCTTAAGAAAATAGAAATTGCCCCATATCAAAGAAGTTATGCCTCCTTTGTAATATAGAGGGGGAAGATGAAGTTCATTTAGTAATATTGTGTACACGACTAAACAACTCTAGAATCGAAATTTTTAATTACATTTCTGATATTGTACTTTGTTTCAAGTCAATGAGTAGTGAAGCTAAATTTTAATTTTTTTTTCTTGTGAAGAATCTGACATATTGAAGACTATTGATTATGGCAAAAGTGAGATACTTAATCACAAGAACAACAATAAAAAGGTGTGCATGCATTTTTTTAAGTCTGGCTTTATATCAATATTTAATAGGTCTTTTCTTCTTCTTTACATGTGCTTAGAAAAAGAGTTTTTTTCTGTACTTCTGTTCTAAATGTAATAATTTAAATGCTTACTTGGGAGGTGGCATAACACAAAGTTAATATTTTTGTCAATATAATTTGTTTTGTTCCATTTTGTATTGTTTATTTTGTTAATTAGTATAATCTTATAAGTTGTAGTTGGATTTTACACTGATAAAATTCTTCTTTTATTTAATGTCCTTATGTACAAGAACCAATGGTAATAGTCTTTTATTGTTGAAAGAATACTATAATCCCCAAACTTGAAGAATTTTTTTCTCTTCATTCTTTTAATATTTTTTCACAGCAATAAATTTCTCAAAAAAGATATATGAAACTGGAATAACATATTCAGTGAAAAAATGTTTCTAATCTATCTATTTACTTATTTTCAAAATAGTCTATTATTCAAATTTCAATGCTTGTAAATTGATCCATCAGTACTATTTAATGTATATACAAATTTGATTGTTAAAGAATTTTACAATACATGTATCTAAAAAGAAACAACAGATTAAAGAAAGATAACTCATGATGAAAAATTGTAGTATTGTCTAAATAATGATCAGTAATCATCACCAATATATGTAATTTATGAAATAAAGGAATATCTTTACAATTTTCGTTTACTTTTAAGGCAAATTTTAGATCAATTGTTGTGTGCTATTACCATCATTTAACATCTGAAGTCAGTCCTTCATTTGAACTTTTAAATCAAACTTCTTCTGCGAAACCAGAGTGCAAATTGAAACATACTTCATTTAAGTTATCCTTTGAGAGTTTAGATTAATAGTATTCCTGTCAATCAAACAACATGACAACTTTTAAAAAAAATATATTTTAACATTTTGGTAATTTAGAGACAACAGTTGTTGACTGATTTTCAAATTTCATAAATCCTATAAGAATAAAATTGAGAATGGAAATGGGGAATGTGTCAAAGAGACATATAACGGTAAAAAACAATAAAATGCTCCGCAGGGCGCAGCTTGATACGACCGCAGAGGTCGAACCCTGAACAGTTGGGGGAAGTATGGACACAACATTCAAGCTTGATACAGCTTTGGATTTGGATTGTGATTAAATATTTGACACAGCATAGGTTTCTAACACAGATTGAATGTGGTCTAAGAACTTAAAAATTTTAAATTGGACATTCACCTATTATGGTCCAATATCCAAAATCTAAATACATGGTTAGATTCAGCATATCAAAGAACCCCAAGAATTCAATTTTTGATGAAATCAAACAAAAGTTTAATTTCGGACCCTTTTGACCTCAATGTGGACAAAGTTGATAACGGGGCCCAAAAATCAAAAATCTAAATACATGGTTAGATTCAGCATATCAAAGAACCCCATATATTCAATTTTTGTTGAAATCAAACAAAGTTTAATTTTGGACCCCGATTTGGACCAACTTGAAAACTGGGCCCATAATCAAAAATCTAAATACATGTTTAGATTCAGCATATCAAAGAACCCTAAGAATTCAATTTTTGTTAAAATCAAACTAAGTTTAATATTGGACCCTTTGGACCTTAATGTAGACCAATTTGAAAACGGAACCAAAAATTAAGAATCTAAATACACGGTTAGATTCGACATATCAAAGAACCCCAATAATTCAATTTTTGATGAAATCAAACAAAGTTTAATTTTGGACCCTTTTGACCTCAATGTGGACAAAGTTGATAACGGGGCCCAAAAATCAAAAATCTAAATACATGGTTAGATTCAGCATATCAAAGAACCCCATATATTCAATTTTTGTTGAAATCAAACAAAGTTTAATTTTGAACCCCGATTTGGACCAACTTGAAAACTGGGCCCATAATCAAAAATCTAAATACATGTTTAGATTCAGCATATCAAAGAACCCTAAGAATTCAATTTTTGTTAAAATCAAACTAAGTTTAATTTTGGACCCTTTGGACCTTAATGTAGACCAATTTGAAAACGGAACCAAAATTTAAGAATCTAAATACACAGTTAGATTCGGCATATCAAAGAACCCCAATAATTCAATTTTTGATGAAATCAAACAAAGTTTAATTTTGGACCCTTTGGACCTCAATGTGGACCAATTTAAAAACGGGGCCCAAAATCCAAAAACTAAATACACGGTTATATTCAGCATATTAAAGAACCCCATGAAATCAAGAATAAAACCCCATTGAAATTGGTCAAGAAATAAGCAATTTATAGGAAGTATCTTCTTTTGCACAATCCTGTGCTATTAAATATTTCTTGCTATTGCGCAATACTGTACAATTGACAATTTCTTGCTATTGCGCAATATTGTGCTATTGGATATTTCTTGCTATTGCGCAATACTGTGCAATTGAAGATTTCTTGCTATTGCGCAATACTGTGCAATTGAAGATTTCTTGCTATTGTGCAATACTGTGCAATTGAAAATTTCTTGCTATTGCACAATACTTATTATATAATAATTTACACATCCTGTTTGGTGTGTATCTCCTACCATATCATTATTATTTGATTTTAAATATAAATCAGAAATAACCAACTTAAAATGGAAAATTTTAAAAGAAACAAAAAAGGAAAAAAGGAAAAAAAAGGAAAAAAAAATAAATCCCCCCCCAAAATTTTTTGAACCCCCATTATGATTCATCACCCCCAAACTCAATCCCAGCCTTCCCTTTGTGGTATGGTACCTTGCAGTACAATTTCAGAGAGATCCATACACTTGAACACAAGTTATTGTCTGGAAACTAGAAAAAAATGTGTTTTTTGGCCCCTTTTTGGCCCCAAATTCCTAAAAGTTTAGGGCAATTACCCCAAACTCAAACCCAGCTTTCCCTTTGTGATATGGAACCTTGTAGTACAATTTCAGAAAGATCCATACACTTACACACAAGTTATTGTCATGAAACTAGAAAAATGCTTGTTTTTTGCCCCTTTTTTGGCCCCTAATTCCTAAAATTTGGAGGCAATTACCCCCAAAATCAATCCCAGCATTCCTTTAGTGATATGGAACCTTGTGGTACAATGTCAGAGAGATCCATACACTAACACACAAGTTATGTCTGGAAGTTACAAAAATGCTTATTTTTGGCCCCTTTTTGGCCCCTAATTCCTTTACTGTTATTACCATAACCCCCAAAATCAATCCCAACCTTCCTTTTGTGGTATTGAACCTTGTGGTAAAATTTCATAAAGATCCATTCACTTAAACTAAAGTTAGAGTGCGAAAACCA